TGGAGGATTACGATGGCCTGTCACAGTTTGGAGACTACGATCTAATCTGTTTTAGTGCTGCAGTAAAACACAATAGTTCCATTCTCTCACTTCAGATAAGGTATCTTGACGTTTCGGACACGTCACTTGTTTCCCTTTGTCGCGCGTTGGAGGGACATCCCAGTATTCGGGCGTTGGACCTCTCCGGCACGCGAGGCGGAAATGCGACAATCAAGGCTGTTTTTCGCCTTGTTTGCACAAACCCGAATATTCTCTTTGTTCGTTTAGACGATACGATGGTGGCCCCCCAGGATGCAGATGAGATACGACTGGCAACCATGTATAATGCACTTGCGTGCCCTGACCCCGGCAACAACCCTTTTCACCTTGGTCTTCTACGTAGAATCGGCGACATGGAGGAGGAGGAGCAAACATATAAGGAGAAGCTGTCTGCACACTCCTGGCTTTTTTCTGATCAAACTTCTGGAGCTACGAATGCGCTGCCACCAAAGAAGAAGAAAGTTGGTTTTGCTGAGAAAGTAGCCAAGTCTCGCATTGGTGCGGACATTTGTGCGCAGTTTATGAGTGGCCGATGCAATTACGGTTCGCGATGTCGGTATATTCATCCTGACAAGACGGCAGCCTTGCAGAATGCTATTGCCGCCACTCAGTACATGATGTCGCAAGAGTTGGAAGGTGATTCGAAATCTGTTAAGAGCTTTGCCTCGTCCATCGGTGCTGGTTCCAGGGTGAGGCTACAGAGCAGATTGCGTCCCGTCAACTTTTCGTTGAAGCAACGAGAGCTTATTCCTGCCGGTGAAAAGCCAAGGGATATTGACTCAAATAGCGATACAGATGATGATTATAAACTAGAGGCTGCATGGAGACGAGCCGTGTGGATGTTGTGTGGGTCTGTTATGGCGTGCAGCGTTGTAGTGGCTGTGATCTACTGAGTGGTGTTGAAGAAAAAGAATTACTTTGACATCTTTTCTCATTGGAATCGTAAAATCATGGAGTTGAGTAGATGAACATTCTGGATTCTTCATGATGCTACACCAGATATTGTTTCTTTCATGAGGATTTGGTCAATCATACTGATTAACCTTAACCGATTAACAATACTATATGTAGAAGCAAACAGTGGATTGTAAAAAAAAAAAACAGGGATGGAGGATGATCGGTGCAGGCGCTCATGCGGAAACGTTTTTTCTCGATAACTGTCGATATTTCTGAGTTACAAGCTGAAGCTAAGCACGGCACTATGCCAAGCGTTATCCGGAAGGTGTGCGACCCTCCGTCTAGTGACGCCTGCGATGCCCCAATGCTCAACGTGCAAAGTAGACGCCAATTTAAGACATCGGGATCAGGAGACCTGGAGAAGTACGTTTCCCCGTCATTTACACCAATACTGCGCGAGCTTCTGCCAAGAAATAATACAGAGCTTGGATTTGGCGGCAACTGGTTTTGGAGTTGCTATTTTCATGCACTGTATGGAGAAGACTTATTGGCCAACCTAAATGGAACGGGCGTGAACTTGTCAGAGGATTCCCTAGATGCGCAAATAGCCCTACGACGGAGGCTGGTGTCTTTGGCCGATGCAAAGGAGACTGACGTTGCCATTGAGCAATGCTGCTCAAAACTCGAAACTATTTGCGCAATATGCCTATCACTTGTTTTGCATGTTGCACAGCAGCCTATGCTGGAAGATGAACAGGGCCCCCAGGCCTTGGTGCTGTGCGCCACAAAAGATCAATGTGACGAAGTGCACGCATTAATCGATCGCTTCGGGGCCGCGTTGCATTTGGTGACACACAACTTATTTGGCGTGTACCCTCCAATGCCTGCTGGTAGACGCGCGGATATCGTCGTGGGAACCCTCCCACTCTGGGAAAGTGTGGCGCAGGTGAGCCCTCTCGCCAGTCACGATGGCCTCGAGGAGATCCTCTATACCGTGGCGCACGATTCGCGTTGGACTGCGTCATCTACTCGATGGAGGCCATACTCACTCGATTTCGTTGCGCAGTTGGTCCTCGTAGATTTGGAGTTACAGCAAGCACTGGGCTACGAACCAATGCTTCGACGGTTGTTTTTGGAACACAGAAGGCCCGCGTGGCCACCCTCGAATCGTGCTAATGATAAAGCTGTTCAAAAAAACGGACGTGGTCGCTCTGCCCCAAGTGGGCTTCCGCAGGGATGCCAACTCTACTGTTTGGTTGGTGGGTGCAAAAATGGAGAAGGGCTGTTTGCCGCTTTGCGCACCTCGCGTGAAAGGGGTGGGGAAACCGCAAATAATGAAGGTTTGGCCCACATTACACTGAAGTTGGAATTCGTACAGCAGGAAACCATGAAGGTCGAGCATACATCCACTAGTTCTCGCAAGCGAGGAAGGGATGATGATGATGATGATGATGATGATGATGATGATAATAATGTCGCCGCTCTTGAGGAGCAGACCTCAAAGGACCTCCCTAGGTTGGTAGTACATAACGCACTCTCACACTCCCGGGTTTTACTTGATGCAAGCGCCTTCGAGGACTTCGCGGCAGAGACTAAGCGCCGAGCTGAGGCTTTTTGGTCAAGGTTTGAGGTGACACCGTCCTCCCCCACCAATAGAGATGATGCGGCGGCAGCGGCCGTTATTGACGTGCAGATGGCCTATGGGTGCATTGAAGTTGATCGGGGACACGCAGATGGCAGAGACAACAATACCAACGCCGCCAAGGCGTGGTGTGTGGTGGAGACGGTGGCAATCATTACACCCGTCGATGCAGGTGCTGCTCACCCGTCGCGAACTGCACTACTGTTGCGGCACCTGGAGGATGAGCTTTCTGGGCAGATATTTGATGGCAGCGTTGTGTACTGTTGTCACCATTACGGCGTCATAAGTGAGGTGACCCTGTCTGCCGTGACATTGCATGCGCTCTTTGCGTCAACTTCGGCGTCGCTTTCACAAAGGCCGGTGTTTTTGCGCCTGACGGAGAAAGAGGAATTACGGCGAGACGGAATGGATGCAGCTACACGGCGCTCGGGTTTACGCCAATTGGTAGCTCAAGCTTCTTTGTTGTCCATTTCGTCGTCATCGTCATCGTCATCGCCGTCGCCGTCACTGTTGAATGTTGGTGAGGCGTGGAGCTTCCCACGGCATAAATTTCTCGACGACTTGCCCTTCCAGACGTGGCGTTCCGTCCTTGTCTTTCGACACATCGCTGCGACGGCTCTGGCGTTTTGCGATGCCGCAAGCGGCGCCAAGCCAACAGCCCTTCTGTTCTTGGAGGAATGCTGCCAATACGGAAAGGTTGTTTCGTACTTTGTGTATGAGCAGCGGTGCGCGGAAAAGGACGATGAAAAGTGTGTGCACTTCTTTGTGGAGTTTGCAACGCGCGAAGGGGCAATAGAGGCTGTGCGGCAGTTCTCGCTGCGTCTTTCGAACGAGAGTCAGGAAGGGAAATTTCCCACACACGTAAAACTGTTTTCCAGTGAACTGTACTATGAGGGTGCCTTGGCTGAGCTACGCAAGCAACGAGACACAGGCGGGAACAGAGTTACTGGCCGTACAGTTGAGGAGGACGACGGCGACAATGACGACGATGACTTCATCGACATTTCACTTCTTGGTGAGTAGCCATGATTTTTGTGTTTCGTGGCGTCATGGCTTGTGGGCCAGGG